GCTTGTGGTGTGGGCACGCAGGCTGCAGAGGCCATGGGGGTGGGTGCAATAGGTGAGCGCCGAGCCGGCCGCAGCGCCGAGCTCCGGGACACAGCTGTCACCATGGAGCCCGGCTCAAGGCCGCTGCTGGGCAAGACTCCTTGCGAAGCCCCAAGCGCTGCCCCGCTGCCAGGTACCCCGCAGCACAGCCGGGCCTTGGCCCAGAGGCCTCCGAGAGCTCAGGACCAACCCTGCTGCTCAAGACCTGACAAACTCACCGAGCCCGGACACATGGCAAAGCCCCGGGCCGTGCGCTCTGCTCGCTCCTTCCTCAGCCTCTCTGTGGAGCTCGCGTGTAGTAGCAAGGCAGGATCGCTGCGGAGGCAGGAAGCAGGGAAGAATGGAGTTACTTCCGAAGAAGGGTAGGGAAGACGTGGCGCTGACGGCCGATGCAGGCCTGCGGCCAGGGCTGCCTGGGGCCGAGCACACCCCGGCCGGCCGGAGCGGCGCGCACGTTACCCCGTACGTACCCCAAGCAGGGCCACCTCAGGCGGGACCCCGCACCCGGCTTGGTGCCGGCCCGCTGCTGCTCACGGGAAGGCGCTCCTGGAAAAGGAGCCCATGTTAATAAGTTTGTCTGAGCCGGGGACAAAAACGAAAGGACACCAAGTCAGTAAAATAGAGAAGTGGAGTGGGCAAAAGCATGCAGAGGTATTATTCACCATTTCCACAGAGATATTATTCACCATTTCCAACCCATGTGGTGGGTGGCAGAGCTACCCAAGATGGTTTTTTTCCCCTCTGAGTTTCAGGGGTTTTCGGTCACAGTTGCCGAGCTCACCTGCCAGATCAGAGTTGTAGCCTCTCAGTTAGTGCTTTGAAAGACTGGGTCTGAGCCCAGGCTGCCTCTGCTCAGGGGTCCCAGAAACCCGCTTGCAACCTGGCTAATAAGGGTGGCCAGCTGAAGGCAACCGAACAGAAACTCAGCTTGGAGGGGACTTTCCAGACCCTCCATGCCATGGGTAGGGAGCTCCCTTCCCCGGGAGACGCTTCAGGCCACACTCAACAGATCAGCTTACGAAAAGCAAATCTCATCAGGGTTTTTATCCTGATTTTTTTTTTTTTTTTTTTTTTTTTTTTTTTTTTTTTTATTTACACATGTAACTGGATTTCAAACTCGCCATGCCAAAATCCAGCATCTCCCAGTTAGGAAGGGAGAAGAGAGTTTGGTCATTTATCAGAAAAAATCTACATTTTATCTTGACATTTTATTACTGATATAAGTAATATATGAGTATAGCATATAAAAGTAGAATAATGTACATGCACTACAAAACCTATACGATAAGCATAAGAAGGGAGTGAGAATACAGGCTATCTGGTCTGCTTAGCATTAAAAAAAGTCCATTTTTTACCTCAGTAAAAAACAAAGATCCATGACTGCTTCACGCAGTAGAAGGTGGCTTCTCCACTAAGCTGCTCAAAGCCTTTTCCAAGGCAGATTTTTGAAAAATCCCAGCATAGCCAGCGAGGGTAACACACAACTGCAGCCACCCCAAGGCAGCATTAGCAGGGAGAGTGTGCCGAGGCTTTGCTTTGCAGAGCAATGCACCAGTCAGTAATGCATTCAGTCAGTAATTCCCATCCGCGCTTTCCTTCCCCCGGAGCAGCTCTGTCCCGGCTATTTCGGGTTTGCGCTCACTGGAGGACTCCAAGTGGCTCCATGTTTCCCAAGGGGGGGCAAACACCAGAGCACGGGATGTGGACTGGGTGGCCGGGAAGGACGGCATCTCCTGGCTGCCTGGCAAACCGAAACCCCTGCCTGCAGCTTAGTCATGCTGCCCCGCAAGAAAGTGACATGGGCTTCCCCCTTGACATCTGGGACGCTGCAGAGAGCCTGCTGGGCTCAGCACCGCCACAAAATGCAGAGCCTCTCTGGCCTGAGACCACATGAAAGCTGCCACGGGCAAGAGCTGCGTGAGGACAAGCGAGCTGGGAGATCCCTCGCTCCAGCACCATAGCCCAGAATCTTCCCAGCAGCTTGGACACCCCATGCACACAGTGTCTGGATGCCTCCACCACGCTGATCTCCCTAGCTATGCTCTGCTTCCTGCTTGCCCATGTGTGCAAAGCCTTCAGAGCCAGGGTCATGTCCTGTAGCTATCTCCTTCCTCCATTCAGGGCTTAAAAATTAAAACTGAATTCAAAAAGCAAAATCAAACGTTGCAACACTGCACCGCGGGATTGCACATGATGACCAAGCCTCACGCTAGCTTCTCTTTCTTGAACAGTAACCTGATGTTTTTTGTGGTAACTCTTGGCACATCCTCCTGCCGCTCCACCTCGCTGCAGGTGTTTCCGAGGGGCACGGCCCAGCGTGCGGTGCCCCCGGCACCAGCTGCCGACCACACACAGGCTTTCCTGCTGAGGATGCCGAGGTGCCCAGCCACGGGTCACTGCCTGGCCACCGTGTCCTCCTCGGCATGGGGAAGGCGGGCACCAGCTACGGGTGATTCACCCTTCTCGTGCCAGGTTCGAGCGAGGTTCCTCAAATCGAGCGCAGAAGGGATTTTAAAATGGAGAACTTCAAGGGGATTCCCAGGCCTCCTCGGGACTCTCTTGCTTCAAGGGAAAGGGACCTGCTCGACAAAGTCACTTGTGCAGCGTTGGACAGTTAGCGCTAAGGGAACTGTCTCGTGGGACCAGCTCACCTGCGCGTCCCTATGGGACCTCACTAAGGACAGCGGTGACCCACTCCCTGAAAAGGAAGAGCCCCTAGAGGCCTGAACCTGATGCAGAGCTCCTGCCTCCAGCACACGGCCCCGCACCCATCTTTCCATCGCTGTTTTTCCTGTGTCATTGGAGGGAGGGCAGTTCGTGCTGCGCAGCCCTCCGGAGCACTGACCAGCCTGGGAGGTGGCAAGCAGCCGCTGCCCAGCGCCGGCTCAAACCTTAGGGAAGCCTTAAGGCTTGCAGCCGAGCGCAGAGAAAGCCAAGTCACAAACTAACAGATATTCCCAAGAGGCCTCTCCTGGCGACTGCCGTGGTCCGACAGCACTTCCAAACAGGTTCTCCGCGCTGCCCAAAGGGTTCACCCAGCACTCGCAAAGCGCCGTCACCAGCATAAAAACCAGAAACCAGATACCATCCATCCTACCTGGTGTTTCCTCACACAAAGCACTCCGGCAAAACACTTCTACCTTCTTGGACTTGCTCATTTATGAGCACAAAGAGCAAAACGACTCAGATGGGCCCACGTCCTGAATAATTCAAGCATTTCTGATTATTAGTCTTCTTTTCTAAGCTCAGCAATTGCTTGTGCACATGAACAAAAAGTAGAACTTCAGTCATCCAATACCAATTTTATAATGAAATCTTCATTTCTCAAAATTGAAGCAGCCTCTTGAATTCATTATTTGCATCATAAAGCTTCCCATTCCCTCAAAATCAAAAAAAGAGAAAAGTCTCTGGGGTTATTCCCGTCCTATTAAGACTATGTAAATTCCACAACATTTATATTAATATATTTGCAAAGCACAAAGAGGCAAGACTAGCTTAAGCCGATATCCCCTCCTGATTTAAAGGTCATTCCTTGCAAAACAGTACATTTATCTTAAAACTGAGGTTTCTGATACGGGTAGGTTAAGGGAGGGCTTTTACCTTCCCCTCTTTGCCCCCTCCCAGAGACAAGAGGCAGGTTGCAGGGACACGGGGAGGCAGCCAGGCTATGACATTCACCTCTCGGGCTGCACTATGGCAGCATCCCATGTTTTCCACACAGGACCCCGCTGCTGAGCCTGCAAGACCATCCCTCAGAGCCCTCCGAGCAGCACCACGGAAGCCCCAGGTAAAACACAATTAAACAGCTCGGGTATTTAATTGCTTTGACCTTTTTGCTGACGACCTCAGGGAGAGCAGGATTTCAATAGATGTGGAAGTGGCTGTAAAAAGAGGTACAGAGCATGAGTGCATTGGGGTATGTGGAGCTTTTCAACAGCTCATTCAGCAAAGCTCTTTCATTTATAAAATTCAAAAGGAAATAAGAAGAAAAATTAAGAGAAGCGTAATGAGACGTGCAGAGAAGCATCGCAGCAGCAGATGCCCCGTCCTCTCCGCACGCAGGCGGCCACGGCCACCAGGAACGTGTGGGGCCAACATCTCACCCGCACCAAGGGCTTGGGGGAACCAAGGCAGCCCCCTGAGATGCCACCTCCGCCCCAGAAAGCCCCACACCAGCCAAGGTGGCCCTGCCTGCCCCTCCTCTTCATTAGCCCATCGGAGTGGGCTCCCCAATATAGCCCTGGAGATTCCAGCCTACTGCCACAGACTTACCAGCCTACTGTCCACCTGGGAAGGGAAAAAAAAAAAGGAAAAGAAAAAAACCCCAAGTGCCTTGCAGCTTGTAAGCAACATGGCTCCCCTTCAGAAGATGGATCAGCATCAATAACCAAAACACCAGGGGAAAAGAGTTCATTTGTAGATGGAGATAACACTTTTGAGTGTTTGCAGTTGCTAATGAAGAACATTTTTCAGCCTTTTACAGTAAGAAAGATTTTGAGAGAGAAAGTTTTTGAAAGAGAAGTCAGTCTCAGGACTTGTGCCTCTGCTTTGGCTGCTTTGCACTCTTGTGAGCTTCAGCGCCAAACTATCCAACTCAAGAGACTTTTTACTGCCTTAACTTGCACATTGGTGGAAAGCTACATTCTCATCTCCCTCTTTTTTCCTCTACCTCCTATTTCGCTCTCAAGTAACCCCACTGCCTTTAGGGGAAGATTTTGCCTTACATGAATGTAAAGACAAATTTCTCTCGTTTTCCATTTTTTGTGCCTACTCTGTCTGAGAAAAACATCAGTGCACAGTCATTTGACTATATTTAAAGCAAGGAAGTTCCTCTCTCACTCTGAAACTGCTCTTTCTGCTGGCACCAAGCCTGGTTGGTTTGGCAAGCACCGCTTTCTTGCAGCCTGCTTGCTAACAGGCTACTCCAGTTTGCCTCAGCTTTGCTCTCCTCTTCCGCTGGGATGGAGAGAAGATATCCAAAGATCACTCCTCTTAGGAATACACCTCAGGCTGTAATGGCTGCTTATTTATACCTGCTGGTTCTGGCAGCGCTCGCCTGCGTTGGCCGCGGAGCATCCAGTGCTGCAGACACGGCGTGCACCGAGGTGAGTGATGGGCACTGCTCCCCGCCGAGATAAAGGCATCTTTCATGGGGATGATCAATCTTCGAGGCCTACTTGCGTGCTGGCATCTGATTGTTTTAAATTGCTGAGAGGTTTTTCTCAGAGGGACCTGCAAGCCTTTATCAGAGAGATAAAGCAGATGTCTCGAGACATGCTGGGTTAAATCAGTCACTTGTGCGGGCGCTCCCTTTCCCTTGCTCATTCTCACACAGGTCCGTGCTCTGTCGCGCTCTCTTTTTCATCTGCCCTTTTACTTTCCAGAAAGCCTGAAAGATGACAAACTCTCAAAGGGATATTTACAGCAAGTATCAGAGCTAGACAGAGCACTGATATAAGGATTTTGTCTCTTACGCTATGCTCTATATAGGAATTTGTATAGGATGGGATGATGGTGTCTCTTGCTCATAAATGGGTATTTGCAGTTTAGGACTTGCTGTATCACGTGAAAACAGCAAGAATGAGAAAAACAATTTTCTTTTTCCCCCCAGGGTCAGGAGGAAGGAAGCCCATAGTACTTTTTATGAAGATCTCCTTTTTTTCCTTTAAACTGCGTGTTACAGCAGTCAGCTTCACGGGTTCTTTCTTGCCCATCAGTGTTGAAGCAGAGGCTTTTCCCCAGCCTGCCTCTGATTGTTCCTATAGGGTCCTATCCAAGTGCCTCTGGAGGGACCCCAGCCAGGCATTGCCACGAGGAGCCGGCACTGCACCCACTGCTGCTGTGAGGGGACACATGTTCCCGGAGACACATCTCTGTGGACCCCAACTCCCCCAGGCAGGTGGGGGGCCGAGGAGCCTCCTCCGACCGTGTTCCTGTTGCAGCTTTTCTCTCTCCAGTGCGGCTGTTTAACGCGTGCGTTTCCGCGGGCTCTGCCGCCCCGCTGGAGGGCACGGGCCCTGCTTGGTCTGCAAGGCGCCAGGCACCGCACGCTCGGCCGGTGCACGGTGCCCCCAGGGCACTGCACGCTTGCACCCAAACAAGAACACAGCGCAGCCCCAGCACGCACGCCCCTTGCATTGCGGCATCCCTGCCCCTGCAAATGCCTCCTCCAGCCTTACCTAGGCAGGACCTTCTGCGGGCAGCATTGGGGAGGCAGCAACAGGGCTGCCTGGGGAGGCTGGAGCGCACGGCTGTGCTCGGCAGAGCGCTCCAGCTTCCAGCAGGGAGTCCCCTCCAGTGACTCTGCCAGCTGCGTGCTGCCAAAGGCAGCCCCAAAGCCTGCAACTTATGCACTGCAATACTGGTGCATGTAGCTTAAATAATGTTCCTCTTAGCTAAGAGATGGTGAGACAGGGAAACCCTGTGGTCAGGTTAGCCAACCGTTCCACACGTGCTCGGGGCTTGTGCCCACTGATGTGCAAGTCAGGAGCCTCTGGGCTTCCTGGCAGGGTGTTTTCAAAGCTGCTGCTCTCAAGCTTGTCCAGAGACTCCATCCCTCCCAGTCGGGCCTCGTGCACCAAATAATTTTGGTGCATTCAGCAGGGTCAGGATGCTGCTGGTCTCTCCTCAGCCTCGCTTGCCAGGCTGCACCAGGTGGGTTAATCACTGATCACTGCTCTGCAGCCTCTGGCAACGTTCAACACATCGAGCATTTCTCTTGCTTGAAACAGCAGCACCAGGCAATTCCAGGGCTGTGTTTTTGTGCATGGATTGACATCCATAGGCCCAGGCTTTGACTGACTGCAGCACTGTCTTTGCACCACTGTCTGGAGGCAGAACAGAGATGCTTAATGAATCCCTCTGGTATTCAAGGAGTAGACTTTTCTACATAATAGAGCTTCTTTTTTTTTTTCTTCCACTTAAACTGAAAAGTCTTCACAGAAAATATGAAGACTTGCTGTATCAGATATTACCAATGCCCAGCACGACCTGAACGTTCCTGAACGTCATCTTACTGCAGCATCTAACAGCAACTCAAATCACATTAATCTGAAGTTTCCTAGGCCTGCTCTTTTTCCTCCTCTCTGCAAGAGTCTCATAAAATTTATTTTAGATTAAGCTGTCTTAAAAAATTCATGAAAATCAATATTAAAAATACCTTGTGAAGAGTCTTTCTTATGGATTAATAATTCATCCCATCCAGAACAATAAACCTTCTCCATATGTGTTAGCTTTGATAAGCACAATAGTATAGATGAGACTCTTCAGATGAGTCATTCATTTGGAAAATACTCCGTACAGTCCTAGGATTCTGCATTTCAAGCCTACATTAAGATTTCACAGTTATGACTGTTACGTTCTTAAATAATTTAAAGTTCTGTTTGCTTTCGTATTTATATTCAGAGCCTGCATTTCAGAGCTTCACTATGTATTCTCCACAGATTACAGTCAATAAAAGCTACAGCTGTGAAGGTTTAGGCCTGACAGAAATTCCTGACCAGCTACCCACCACCACGGAAATCCTCGACTTCAGCTTCAACTTGCTTCCCACCCTCGAGAATTTGACCTTCTCCAAGCTGAACAGGCTGCTGTACTTGGATCTAACAAGGTACAGTAGATCACAGAATGGTTAAGTTGATCATCCTCACCTTCTTGGGAGGTCTCCTTGGTCAACACTCTCTGCCTTCACTCAGGGTTGAAGGCTCCCAGATTCCACAACAGCATGGGGAACCTGGCAGTAGCATCTCCAGGCAATTGCTGGTATTTCCCTTAACCAAGATTGATACAAGTGGGTATCAATCAAGTGGATATCAACAAATGGATAACAATATCTAGGCTTCTCCTCCAGTAACTATCATTTGCTGGACAGTGGGCAAAATACACATTTTCTACACATTACAGTTGCTAAGTCCAACAACATGACTAGAGTGACTTTTTAATTCACTTTTCCATAAAAATGCTGTTCATAAATCCTGAGCAAAGATAGGTTCAGTGGTTCAATGCTTTTAAGTGCTCATCTTTCTCTCTAGAAAGAGATTTTAATTAAAAAGTTTGACACACACACAAAAAAATTAGGGTTTCCCTGACAGGGATTTCGCACTCATCATTTCAGGGCAGTTTCCTCTGCTGTAACACTGCTTCCTCATGAGGACTCTGCATTTCAAGTGTGTTTACCAATCCCAGGTGAGCGCCCTTTGCAAGGGAAAATGCAGTTTTATTCTGGCAAAGGCTGCTGCTCATGAGCTTTTACATGCCCGTTTGGATTACTTCATAGTAATGGAAACTGCTGAGGTGCCAGACTAGTGATGCAGGCTCTGTTGCTTTCCCAAGGTGTCAGATCAGCTGGGTGTACGAGGGTGCCTTCCACAACAACCCCCGGCTGCACACCATCGTGCTCACTGGAAACCTGCTCCTGTTCCTGTCCGACACCGCGTTTGTTGGCCCCCAGGCCCTGAGGCAACTTGTCTTAACACAGACAGGAATAAGCAGACTGTCCTTTATCCCTATGACAAATCTCGCCAACTTGGACACTCTCATCTTGGGCAGCAACCACATCTCTTCCCTGCAGCTGCCTCCCAGCTTTCCGACTCGGAACCTCCGCTACCTCGATTTCCAAATGAACAACATAAGAACAATCACAGCAGAAGATGTCAGCGTCCTGCAGAAGACCAGTAACTTAACTCTCATCTTTAAAGGCAATGACTTTTTGTACATTGAACCCGGAGCTTTCCGGTCCAGTTTCTTCAGTGTGGATTTTGGGGGCTGCATCAACATCCCTGGGATCTTGGCGGGGATGCAGAACTCCTCGACCCGCACCCTTTGGCTGGGAACATTTAACGACGTGGAAAAAGAGTCCTACCTGAGCCCTGACAGCTTACAAGGCCTCTGTAAGGTCACTGTGCAGGATCTCTATCTGCAGCTACGGCACTTTGAAAGCCTGAACGCCGCCACGTTTCACTGCATGACGCAGCTGCGGAAGCTGGACCTGACCCACACGCACCTCAGCGCGTTGCCCGCTGGCATCGGCGGCATGACGGCGCTCACGGAGCTGGTGCTCAACGAGAACTCCCTCGAGCACCTCTGCAATGCCAGCGCGGCCGCCTTCCCCGCCCTCACACACCTCCGGCTCCGAGGAAACGTGCGCAGGCTGCGGCTGGGCTCGGGCTGCTTGCAGGGAGCGCCGAGACTCCAACACCTCGATTTAAGCCACAGCCGCATTGACAGCTCCGAGTGCTGCAGCCAAGCGCTGCGCGGGCTCGGCGCCCTTCGCTACCTGAACCTCAGCTACAACTCCCAGCTGCACGTGGGCGACCTGCTCTTCAGGGAAGGTGCCAACTTGGAGGTGCTGGACGTAGCGTTCACTCAGCTGCACATCAGCACTTCAGAGGGGCCTTTCCGAAACCTCCATCTCTTGCAAGTCTTGAATCTTTCCTCCTCCCAGGTCAACAGTAGCATTCCACATCTCTTTCAAGGTCTGGAAAAGTTAATGGTCCTGGACATCAGTCGGAATATCTTAGAGTCAGGGATCATGCCAAAGAGCAAACTGCTTCAACAGTTAACCAATTTAGAGGTACTGATTTTGGCATCCTGTGAATTGACAGCAATAGATGGCCAAGCATTTCACTCCCTCAAGAGGTTGAGGCACGTTGACCTGAGACACAACAAACTCACTACAGTCAGCGCAGATGCATTTTCCCATCTTAAGAGCATCTATCTCAATTTTGCCCACAATCGGATTCAGATTATATCCCGTGACAAGCTAGTGTCCCTACCCAACCACAGTGTCATCAATTTAAGTTACAATCCTTTGCAGTGCACTTGCTCCAATATTGGTTTGATCACTTGGTACAAAGAGAATCTGGATAAAATTGAAGACCCTGAAGAAACAACGTGTTCTGAACCCAAATCACTAGCTGGTGCTCAGCTGTCTACTGTGACTGTCTACTGTGGGATCAGCACTATGGGAATCATTGCAGCTGTGCTGGGTATTTTGTTCTGTGTTGCCATCTTCATCTGGAGCGCTTGTTCTTTCAGGCGAAGATACCAGCAAATCTGAGGTTTACAGCAATTCGATTAGGATGAAAAACAACCCACAGGCTTTGTTCCTTGCCTGTATTTTGTTTAACTTTTTAAATACTTTTTCAATTTCCATTATAATTTTAGCAAAACAGAAATGTCCTTATTTCATCAGGTCTTGAAAACTAAAATTGTGTCTTGAGCCTTGAGCCTTCTGCTGTGGAGATGCCCCCACAAACAAGTTATATCATCCGGTTGTCTCTGATTTCCTAAAAAAACTGCTTGAAATTTGGAAAGTTCTTTGCCATCCCCTCAAACCTCTCTCTACGTGTCTCTCCATGATAAATGAGGACCATCAAAAATCTCAGATTTAACCTCAAAATTTATAAAAATAGTCAAAAGTCTTGGGGGAACTTGGCACTACAGATACCTGCCCTTGTGAAAAGCAGCTGCCACCAAGAGCTAAGGGACTTAACCAAGCACGTGCCTGCCTTTCAGTGCCGGGTCAGTAAGGGACAGGGCAGAGGGGCCATTTCCTCCTCCAGCTGCAGAACAGGAAAGAAAAGCAGAGATTGCAGAGGGGAAGGCACAGCAGGAAGCAGGAATGTGAGCTCAGAGGTGTGCGTGGTGCTCACAGCTATTTCATGTCACCTCTCCTGCCTGAATTCCTGGAGTGATGTAAAGACTAGGACACACTCTTGGCTGCAACAGGACACACTAAAGCTGGGAGGGAGGGAAGGCAAAATGAATTTACTGTTATTTATTCTTAGGAAGCTTCTGAACCCTTCTTTCTGATATCACAAGTGAACAGATCCAGCGCAACCCAGAGCACGTGCATTTGGCCATAGGTCTAATGAGACATATGATGAGAACTCCGTGTGTCTTCTCATCTAATCTGGGTGACTATAATGGAACTTTTGGTCCTACTGCCTCTATAAGCAGCTACCCCTGAGGCAGAGAGGGTCTCCATGGTGTCTCCACAGAAGGATGCAGCCTCCTTGTGCTTTCCCCTGAAGGGGACACTTACTCAGTGAGCCATGGGAACAGCTCTCTTAAAGCACTTCCCATTGGGGTCTTCATATTCAGTGACACTCTTGCCCCAGAGGTATTTCCTCTAAAATTTCCTTCATAATACACTTGCTATCTTTAATTTCAAAGATTCCTGCTGGACTAAAAAATTTCTGTTGCCCAGTGCTTAAGAAATAACCAGCAAGAACAGCTGGCATTTTTGTCAAATAAGAAGCTCTGATTTGGTGCCTCCGCATGGCGGCTGCGTCGCCTGCCCACGGTGGCTGCGCTGCCGCCCGAGGCCACGCGGCGCTTTCCGACGTTTCCTCTCCAGACGACTACGAACACATCCATGGTTTGGGGAGCAGGACACGGCTGGTGTTCACAGGCCTCACATGCATCCCCGGTTCCTGCTCTCACTGATGAGCAATCCACAAAACCCCTTCCCTCACCCTGCAAGTGCACATCATGTTTGAACTGAAAACATGTTGGGCATCAAAGCAGGCTGGGGCAGCTTATATCGAACATGGGCTTCCTCAAAGGCTGATCTGACAGAGAGAAATGTCACGGAGCAAGGTAAGCTATCAAAGAGCAGCTCTGCTTGGCTCTGAGAGCAAGGCAGATGAGCACCTGAAAACAGCCTAGAAATTCAAGGCCTTTTCCCCTCCCTCTGCAAACACAACTGGTTAAACAAGCGAACTCCAGCAATTGTGTTATCTAGTAACACAATCTGCAAGAGAGAAAACTACCTAGCAGGGCAGTTCAAGTGGTGTAAGAACTCTGACAACCTTCAGTTTTTGCTTTCCAGCATTAGCTGTTAACAGTCATATAAGATGAGCTCTAATATGAGCTCCCAAGTGCATGCATGCCTCAAAACAGACATGCTTCTCAAATGGCTTTCTTTCCAAAGTTGTGGGTCCAAGAAAGCGATGGATAAATAGTATAGTTTAAAGAAAATATGACACAGTTTAGAGCTTGGAAATGCCACTAAAAATTTCTTCAAATTGGCAGGCAATTTGCTTCAAATTGTATACACACACACACACACACACACACATATGACAATACATCTACAAATAGCAGCAACTTCAGTATCAGCACAACATTCAGGTTTTCCCCTCACTTTCTGAAATGCCCCACTTTTCTGCCCTACCCATCCTGCTCAGCACAAGTTATTTTTCATAACAATCATAGAGTCATTTCTCGTCATTTTAATTTTCTCTTGAATTACTTTCAGTGTGACTTGCTCAGAGCAGGATCTTGGCTTTTTCATTTGTCCGTAAAATACCATCACTTTTCAACAACGGTGCTTGAACAGCCTACACTGTGTATTTCAAGACAGACACACCTTGAATATAGGAGCTGGTTATTCTAAAAGAATGTTTTATGTCACTTATGTGTCACAATGTCCAGATCATGTATTAAAGTTTTGGAAAGTTAAATATTTATCCTCTGAGATTATTTAGCCAGGGTATAAATGGAATGTGACATTAGATTTATTTTTCTTTATAGAATTTATATACTCAATTAAGCTCTCATCTAATGCAGTCAAATTGTTCTAAGACAGAACTTGTATCTCCTACTTTTCAAACAGAGCTGAGGATCCAACACACAAAGAGACCAAGCGAATTGCCTAAGGTGAATGGCAGCCAACAATTAAATTTACAACCATCCTGGCTTCTGGGCTACAGACACCACCAGAACTTTGGTTCAGTACAAAGCTGAACAATGTTCTGCAAAACAGAATTCAATCTGAGTATTTGCGGAGAGAAGTAAGTTACATTCCAAAGATTAATAAGCATTTATCTTTCTTTCAATTGTACACAAGATTCAGAGATTCAAATCTTTTGAAAAAGTTTTATACAGCATAATTGGTGGCCGGCCAATTCTTAAATCCACATACTTAAAAAGAATATCCTAATGTGGACAATCATCTTTAAGTACTTTCTCCTATTCACCACCTGAGTCCATGCCTGGAAAAGAATGAGATGATCCCCTTTTCCAGCCACTTACTTGCACTATGCCTGCCAGTCCCTTAAAAGCACAACGGAAAATCCCCCACATGTACAGGCTGTGGCCTTCTCAAACACCCTCATGCTCCCGCATCTACATCACACCTGCTTTTTCTGTGTGCCAGACCTTACCTTCATCTTGACTCGTTTCTCTCTTGTCTTATGGTTCCTCTGTGTCCTGCTTCACCATCTCTGCAACCTCCTCCATCCATCCTGACTCTCCAACATGTCCTACCCTCCTCCGTTCATTCAAGCCCCTCTGCATTAGTCTTCACTTGAGCTTGTCAGTGCTCAAACACTGTTGCACAGGCATGGAGAGAGCCCCCCAAAAACCCAAAAAACTATTGCTAATCCCTGCCATGAACAGTGGGGACACACACTCACAGTATCCTCTTGCCCTGTGATTTATTCTTTTAAAGCTATACTCTCCAAAACAAAGCATGGCAGCCCTTGCTAAATACAGAAGTGCATATAAGGCCTAAAAGGCCTTTGGAACCTGTGTGTTTGGGGAGGATGGTCCCTTTCACACTACGAAAGGGCACTCACCCCACGCAATTGCAGAGCCTCTTATGGTGGTACAAGTGAGGTTGAAAGCCGGGGCACATGAGGAAGGAAGGGGTAACCTCCCGCCTTGTCTCTCCTCACACGGCCCCCTATCCTCCTGCCCTGGACACCACGGATAACTAACCATGGCGGTGCGTGGCGCTTCACATCTCCCCACAGGGAGACGACGCCGCTGCCCAGGCAGGGCGGGCTCAGCAGACAAAATGGCGGGCATAGCAGGCAAAATGGCAGACACAGCAGGCAAAAGGGTGGCCCCAAGCCAGGGTCCTTCCTCAGGGCCCGCACCTCCTTCCTCGCACCTCCTTGCTACCCCCAGGGCTGTCAGCCCCGCGCTGCCTCCTGCGGCTCGCGTCGCTCCCCACCAATGTGCCCGTCTTGCAGGGCACCTGCTTTCTGATGGTTCCAGTGACTCCGAGCGCTCAGCGCAGCCTCCAGACCCTGCTCACCCGTGGGTTTTAGGGAAGGAGAGCACAGCAGCAGCCATTGCTCTGCGACGCTTCCCCCATACACAGCCAGCAACAGCAGAACAGAGAAAACAAGGCAACAGCAAAACACAAATAAAAATAACAATCCCCCCCCCCCCAAGGCAGACATTTCCTGGCACGTGCTCAGCAGCTGTGCACGGCTCCTCTACCAGCGAGAGAACACTGAAAAAGCCCAATGTGTTACACTATGCACTGCAAGCGTGAAAAGATGTAAGCCAGGGCAGCAACAATCCTGTGGGGCTTCTCCTGCCAAAAGGATCCATCCAGCAGATGCCAAGGTCCCCGGCTCCCGCTCTCCTGTCTGGTTCACTGCATCTCTCTGATCTTCTGCGATGAGAAAGAATAAAGGGAGATTTGATATTAACAAGTGGAGATTTAAAATCTGAAGAGGCTGAGCATAAGAGACATGCTCCAGGCATTGCTTCAGGTCAGGAATTCAATCAAATTAAAGAAAAAAAAAAGTATTTTGAGAAGGTGCTGCAGTGAACGATGGTGCACACACTGGCAGAGATGCTCACGTGTCACGTTACGACCTCCTGCTCTTCCTAGCAAATAGTCAGCAGGTGCTCCACACCCTGAGAGCCAACTGCAGCCCCTGGCAGACAGGGTGCTTGGCTCTCCAGACCTTCTGCAAGTACCTCACAGCTGCTGCTTTTGACCAGGCTACATTTCTCCCATCACAACATCCTCGGCCAGCACGGACCTTCTGGGCTCACCGAGCAAAAAGGGTAACTGCCCTCCCACACCTGCACAGCAAAACAGGGACACAGCTTTTAAGTTCTAGCAGCAAAAAAGTAGTTTGAAAGAGAATGATGACAACACCGCTTCATGCTGAATTTTTATTTCAATATTATGCAACTGCATAAGTATAAATAATTGTGTTCAATATACAACAGTTATGCCATCCATAAGGAGTTTCTTAGAGAAAATAAGACTGCAAACACTTTATTGCACAGACCCTAACTTTTTTTTGTTGTTTTTTTTTTGTTTTTTCCTTCTCCGTAAGCTGAGAAATCTACAGCAGGAAGTCTACAAAGGAACACATCAGATCTACAATCACGGAAAGACTGACCAAGAAGCACACAGGAAGGAGGATCTCTAACAGCTCACTGATAAGGTAAACACCAACAAACAGGTACTACATAAACACACGCTTAAGCACTGTTACACTTCCATAATGCAAAAAAAAATTATTTGTCAGAAGTGATAAGGAACTATACAAAAATATACATAAACGTATGCTGTAAACAAATAGCTAGATGTGCTTTAAAGGAAACAAGAGGATAGTTTAAAAAAATCCAGAAGACTGTAAACTAGGAAATACCTCCTAGACAGAAATGTTATGATACTGAAGTGCATTAGCATTCGTTTGTAATAACTGCCAAAGCACAGATGAACTGTAAATGTTGAGACCATTTCTCTTCAAAACTGCTCAAAAAGTATTTTCTGTCACTCACTAGCTCCTCTGTGAACACATGAAAGGTAGAATGAATGTTCTGGTGCCACCTGAAAACTCAGGGCTTGTTTGGGATTTGGTCTTTCCGTGACAGGCTAGTTGGAATCCAACGCAGCTAGTGACTGTAACGAAGCCTTTCCCAGGGGGAAAGTGGCCATGTCAGCTGTCATGCAAGCCTCCAAGTCAAGATGACACTGTGCTTTTACGAACACCTTCAGAGCTTTTGAGACAGAAAGACAATCCATAAGCCCCAAAGAAACAGGTAGGGGCTTAGCCCTAGCGTGGGTATGAACAACAGAAATAAGCAAAAATACCATCTTATTGATCCCGCTCATTTAAAAACACTCACCTGCAAAGATACCTTGTAGTGCTCCTGTACATGTTTCAAATTTTACCTTTCATCCTTCAAAACAAACTGAATACCTCCACGCTAAAACGATCAAAGTCTACATGTTCCACAGTATACAAAATTTAAATAAGGCTTAGCAAAAGTAAAAAGACAGTCACATTCTAGCACCAAATAGCTCCAACAGGTTCCTTTGTTACAAAAAATGCTTCTCTTTTAATTACATTATTTACTTTTTTTGCATACAAATAAAAAGATTACGTTATGAAATGTATGGAGCTACTCAATGCATTTAGAAATGAATGTGAAAACCAGAATTACTTGCTAAAAACAGCAAGTTAAGTCTACAACGTAAGGCCCCTGCTATGTATTAAAATGTATCGGATGTCCTGAACTTTTCTGAGGATATGAAACTGAAATTGCTTTTTTTTTTCTTTCCTTTTTACAATTCATAAAATGGGAAGAAAAAAAGCTACAGCTGCATGAAGCTAGTTATGCAAGCTTGTATGTCATAATAATACACACTCTCCAAACTGATTAAAAACCAGGGATGGATAAAGTACTGCAAGTCATGTGCTTATACTTGTGCCTCACACTGTAAGGGCCTCAATTTAAAAAAGCTCAAGGAACCCGAGAGAGGGCTGCAGCAGAACCTAAGCACACCGCATGTGCTCCAGAGTCTCGGCCTTGTCTGAGGTGAAGCTCACGGGACACGTTCCCTGGGGACAAGCCAAGAACAACTGTTTTACCAGAGAACACTGCTCTTCCCGGGAAGCGGCGCCAACAGGGCGCTCCTCCCGCATTAGACCTACTTTAGGGGACGGGTTTTGTGCGGTAGGGAGATACAGCTAGATCTCATGGTAGATCTGGTGAAGCAGTTAGCCAGGTACAGTACTATCAAAATCTGATTATTAAAAATACATGTAAAAACTCACAATAAGTCACCATATTTATTCTTTCCTTTCCTTTTTTTTTTTTTTTTTTTTAAACTCTAGCTAGGATTTTTACTAAGTAAAAATGTGGCATATTTCTGTTTTCCAGTCAGACCAACGTTTGTACAAGCATGTCCATGCCAGGTCTGAGTAATTTTAGTAGTTTCCATATTCGACTATGGCAAATAAGTGGCAAAGCAACTATCTTAAAAAAGGGGGAGAGTAAACAATGCGATCAGCAGCAAGGTATATATATGCTACATTCAAACCCCAAACACATCACCAGGTATTTACAGAGGAAATTTTTCTTCAACAGTTCTCAGTTGTAAAGATATTTTTTATACAAACACTATATGGTAACAGTTTTACCGGTTACATTTGGGAAGGCATTTTGAAAGACAACTCCTCTGTCCCCTTGCTTCAGTGACACGAAAGCTTTGCTGCACAAGGACACCACACAGTGCTGGTTTGAAGGTAGTCAGAACACACTGCCATGTTTCCAGCCAGTCTTGAAGTCCCATCTGGCAGGTACTAGAGTCAAGAGGACTTTTTGTGAGGACTGCTCCGCAGAGCGTCCTTTCCTCGCCGCTGCCGCGCCGAGTCCTTGTCGCTGCAAAGTGCGTTGGGGCGCTCAGGGGTGGTTGCTGACCTGGGTAAATCTTTACCTACGGTCTGTTTTCTTGGAGCAGAAGGCTGAGCCTGCACAGCATCTTTTCCCTTTACATCCACAGTGCTAACAGAGAAAGACCTGTCTTGATTTCCAGGCTTCCCCCCAAGGTTTGAAGCAGCCTGGTGGGCTTCGACTGCAACAGTGGCACTGTGCAAGGTCACCAGTGAAATACTTTTGGTCATTCCTGTCTTGCCACTTGCTATGGAAGAGGGGCTTTTCTTACTCAGTTCTTTGCAGGTGGCTGCAGGAGGTTCAGGGGAGGCTGCCTTGGCCTTCGCTGCAGCTGCATCGCTCTTGGCTGAGGATGAGGAGGATGCTTCTTGTCTGCACTCGGGCGGGTTGGCTGAAGAAGTCGGCGGCTTTCCCGGCGCTGCGGCCGCACGGCAAGAGCTCTGCCCCATGGCAGCCGAAGAATGTTTGCTTGCCACAGGCTTGATCACGTCCTCTGGCTGTTTCTGATTAACGTGGCCTTTCCCTTTTGCATCTTGGCAGCTTTTGCTACTTGTGGTTACTTTTTCTGCTCCTTTCCCCCTGGCATCGCAGCTCGTGAGGCAAGGGGAAGGCTCTACTTTCCCACTGTCACGTTGAACATAAAGTGCGTCAGTGCATATTTTTCCTTCGGGTTTTTTGTCTGCCGAGATCGTCTGGTTACTAGGGCTTCTCTCTACCTCTTTGCTCAGCAGCAGAGTGTCTTTCACAGTGGGAAACTTTGGAGACACAGTCTGTTTTTCACTGAGGTGAAGATGCTTTTGATCAGCAGATTCCGCCAAGCCTGCCGGTTCCTGCCTTTGCATTAGCTTAGAACTCCCTGGGCCTGCTGGTGCCAGGCCACCCGCACAGGATCTGGGTTTGGTTTCAGGAGCGATGCTACTCATTGGAAGGGTGGATACTGACCCAGGTTCCAAACCCAGAGGCCTTTCGGCCAGAACATGTTCACTGCTCGTTTTTCTCAGAGAGCCTGAAACAACAGAAGTATCTTGCACATTTTTACTGGCACCTTTTCCATCTTTCCGGGAGCTGGCAGACACCTGAATAATTGTATCTTTTTCTTTTACAGTCGGAGTGCATGTTTTTTGTGAAAAAGTCTGTTTATCTGAGTGCTTAGGCTTGGAGGAACTATTATCAGAGACAGGCCTGAATTTATTACTGCTGCTTTCCAGCACACAGGTGGCAGCAGCAGCAGGCTTCACGTGCTCCACACGAACATCCACAGCACAGTTTCTGCTTGCAGGCTCTTTCACTGCAGGGGAGCCTGAGGCATTAAGTTGCTGCTGAGGAGTGTGGTTGGCCAGCTCTCTCTCAGGAGCCTGCAGCCGAATTTCGCTGGGCTGCTTCTGATCCTTCTTTCCCAAATCTCTGGAGTTGTCCTTCAGTATAGAAGGGCACAGCGCAAGCTTCTCATTTTTAGGATCACAGTCTGCTGAAGATTGCAGAGGCCGTTTGGATGGAACGGTTTCACTCTTGGACTCAGCAATAACTTTCTTGGACTCGCTGAAAATCTTCTGCTTTATGTCCCTCTCTACAGAGCTACTTGCAGCGGTGACCTCATCTTTGCCTGGCTGTTTCAGAGCATCTCTGCCATCCTTCAGTGCATCTCTGCTATCCTTAGGCTGTGCCTTGGGACCAGCTGCCTGCACTTTGCCTTGCATCTGAGGTGGAATGGCCAAGTCAACAGAATATTTTTCATTGGTTTTGGCATAACTGCTTGTCAGGACATTCGAGACGGACACCTTCAGAGAAGACTCCCTGACCACCTCTACCTTTGCAGGGACAGGTTCATAATTTCTCTGGGCTACTGGCTGTCTGGCAGGCAACTCTTTCTGTGTTTGCTTCTCTTTTTCTACAGCTTTTTCAGGAGTGCTTTGGACAGTAGAAAGCTTGGAACATGTCTGGGTAGTTTTAAGACTCTGACTCTGAATAGCACATGACTTAACCTCCACAGAATTGTCCTTTTGTTTTGAAGGCAAAGTGTCTTTCCTTTGGACAGCTTCAGAAACGTTGCCTTTAGCAGCTCCACTAGGGACCTTCTTCTCTGTCACTACTTGAGCAGTGACAGGGGTGGCTGATGGATTTTGAGAACTTCTGCTTGCTTGTAGAAACTGGGGCTCTAGCACGGTGGCTTTGCTAGACTTTGAATAGCTTAACAGCTGCTCTTTCTGACTGTCCAGCTCTACCTGCTCAGCACCCCCTTGGGCTAAGGGGAGCTTAGGAGATGCCCCATCACTGCTAGTACTCTGCCCTTCTGGCAGTACACACGGAGGCACTTCAGACTTTGAAGCCTGTGGCCCAGAAAGTAAGGCAATGTCCAGTGTTCCTTCTATTGGCTTCAAACAGGAAACAGATCTGCCATCCAATTTATATTCTGATGGACTTTTTCTGACAGGAGACTCGGTGGAAACAAGGGTTGATTTTTCAACATTAGCTTCCACTCGGACATTCAAAGCTTTGAGAGGGACGAAAGAAACAGAGCTAATCTGAGCAGCGTGGGCACTGCTGAGAAATGCTCTCCCATCAGCAACCGTAGTGCCATCCTGTTGCATGTTTATGGGTCTGACTGTATTAAGCTGAAAGCATTCATGAACACTTGAAGTCAGTTTGGGTTTTAGCACTGGACAAACACTGTCATCTTTTTCTTCAAAGGACATTTTCTTCCTAAGATAATCAATATTTGCAAGCTTACCATCTAATCTTTCAAATTTGACAAATTCTTTTGCTGATACATTTTTATCTGTATTTTCTCCCTTTCCATTTAGTGTTCTGTCAGAGGACTGAGGTAGCGCATCTTGCAGTGTACACGGTGGGGAAATTCTTTTGAAGTCATAAGAAATGTGACTGAGTTCATTAAGCGGAGACCCATGACACAACATCTGTGCATCTAAAGCAACACAGTCATTTGATCTTAAGTTTGCATTCTTTTGAAGGGTGTCTTTGAGTATGCCACCAGCTGACTGAGTCTCCAGAGTAACAATTTTTGTTTCAAACTGGTTTGATCTTTCTAAAACCTTCTGAAATGCCTTTTTGTCCCTTTCTTCCAATCTGAAGGTAGTGAGATTGGGATTTTCTGGCTCACAGGAAGGTTCATGTATTTTGCTTGATTTTTCAGCAAAATCTTGCTTTTTCATAACAATCTTGACCTTCAGTTTCTCTCTGTCCAACTCATCAATGGATTCCTGCCTACCTAATTTTCGGGAGATGGGGCGTTTCAAGCAGCCCTGCTCTGCAGGCCTGACCCGCGTGAGGGACGGTACATCACACACGTTCTCCTCCAAGCTCTGAAGGATTACTTCTCTTTGGGACATCTCTCTGTTCACTTCCTCCTGAGTCACTTCCAGACTGTGTTTCCGTGAACATAAGTGTTTCTTATCACTGCCGTAAGAGGGCGCAAGTTTCTCTTCAGACTGGACTCTCTTTAACAGGGGAGACCTGGGTGGCTCGGCGCTCTTGGGCCTGACAATATGCCTCACAATAGTCGGAGGGGAGTGCATTTTGCTGGGGAAGCTCTGAGCTATTTTTGTGTTCCCAATGGAATGCCCCAGCAGCGGGGAGGGAGATCGCTGCGGCGACGTGGGCTGCGGGGTGGGAGAAGGGGTTCGTGCCAGCGGCGAGAGGGGAATGCTGCCGGCCGACTTGCGCCGGCCCGACCGGTACCTCTGCCCGCCGAGCTTGGGGCCCAAGCCGTGCAGGGTGCTGGGTCTGATGTGTCCCGAGCCAGCTGGAGAGTTGGGAGCACTTGAACTCGGCGAGCTGCTCTGGGAAGAATTGGTACCTACAAAAAGAACAAACCAAACAAGCATAAAATACTTAGTAAGATCCTTTGAGTCTTGTCTAGGAGCTCAGTGAGAGGCAGTACTGCTGTTGACTCTGAAGACCTATGTGCTGTCTGCCACAACACTGCAAGACTTGGAAGGTCTCAAGTGACTGGCCTGCAAAAACTCATCACTCATATCATGCTGCTGCTTCTCCCCTTCCTTCTCCATCCCTTCATCTCTTTAAATGATCATTCCCTTCTATTTCTATAGGACAGCTAAAGCTTTCTAAAACTTCAAAGCAATGATCAAGGGTTTCAAATGACTTACCTCCAGTAGATTTGACAACAACATTCACACTGCAACTGTAGCAAGTGGCATAAGAGGGGCAGTGAAACTCCTCTGGGAGTCAGAAAGGTGCCAGTACCCCCTCATTTCAACAACAGAGCAGCGTTTGAGAGCCCATGCTAGTTCCTCCATGATGTGACTACTTCCTCAGTTTCATTCGTATATTAATTTCTCCGAAGCAACATTTTACTTTCCACTGGTGTCTTCTAAGCCTGGATTATTTATTGTGCATTATTTACTCATTGCCCTTGGCTTAGGCACTGGACCAAATCTACCAGGCAGTCTCCTAAAAAAATGCTTCATTTTTTTTTCTTCATGTATCATGTAAATATCTTGGATTTTGCATCAGAAATGTTTTTCTCTTTCCAGAAGGAACGCAGATGCTCGGTGATTACCTTTGTCAGAATTAACTATTCTTGGCAGAACGTAACAGATTTAGGAATTCACAAGCATATGCTTCCAATTCCAGTTATTTTCCTTTACCCCCATGTCTTCCCACTCACCAGACGGGAAATCAGGAGTGGAGCGATAGCTTGGGGTAGGCGACCTGGGAGACAAACTGTGAGTTGGAGACCCTGGCAAGCTCTCTCCCGATGAAAGCGACCGGTTCAGGCAGGAGAAACTTCTGCTGGTGTGGAGCAGGGGAGAGGGCTGCTTGGCCAGCTTTTTAAAGAGAGATCTCCTCCTAATGTGAGGAAAAAACAGCATTATTTAGACATAAGTTGTACAAAAGATATGGTTACTGGGTCAAAGCTCTTGAGGCTGACACTGCTCCACCCTCTCATCGCTTTCAAGAAAGTAAATATTATATGTATGTTTACATGAAAGGAAACCACACTGTAGAAACAAATTTGAGAAAAAAATGGCTCTATTTACTAATAGGGGGAAGAGATGTTGAAAATAAGTCCCTTTGTAATAGAATATATTTCTTGCATTCTAGAGGAACCTCTGGTTTCATATATATGAGCACAGAAGTATTTCTTGCTCTCTTAAGTTAAAAAACCACCAAGACTGAAGGAATACAGTGATTTGCAAAACACACATGCTTGGCATCAAAGAACTTATTTCATCAAATGGGGAATCCAAGTTAAGATTCAACCTTTGTTACACGCACTCTCTTCCCTCTAGCTCTGTGTACACACAAAATAAAATTTTTAACAGAGATTTTAAGAGAACTAAGTTAAAACAGCATTGAAAGGATGTGTTACACATACAGTACTTCAGAGAAGTTAGCAAAAACTGCAGAAGGTGAGAAAGATTATTTCTTAATGGAATTATTATATATAGTTATGTAAAAGGCTACATATTCAGGAGAACAGAACCATTGCTCACCTCTCTAAACTCTCTTTCTTCTTGGTTTTCTTACTGCGCCTCACCATTCGGCTCCTGTAGCTATTTCTCCTCGCAGGCCCTGTCTTGATCGAAGTGTTCTCAAAGGGGGTCGTAGTAATGGACACTTTGTTACCGCTCTGCCAAAACCAAAGCATGAGTAAATATGGGCCCACTTCACTATAAATTGAGGTTATATTAGAAAAACAAATGCAAGGAAACAGAAGTCCTGCCTCAGAGAACGAGCTGACCATGTAAGGAACTCTGTGCACAAATTGTCTGGGTAATTTATGTTAGATTAAAAATGATGATTGGAAAATTCTTAAACTTCTGTCAAATGCCTTACAATCCCATGAGGTCAAATTTTCTAAGTCTCTTCTATTCTAAGAACTAGTCTCAGAACAAGAGAAATACAAAGTAATTGGACTGAGCAGGACTGCAAGTTTCTACAGAAACTACATCTACATCTACATCTTTTTCCCCCAAAGAAGAGCTGTTACTGTGTCCCTAGCCAGTCTTGTCTGAGGATACCACCAGACCCATGCAAGGGCAGACAAAACAAGCTTTATTATCACTCCCTCAAAATATGCAGCAAATGCTTTGATCTTGTTCAAAAGATAAATGTATGAGTCAAACCTTTTAAGACTCTTTGCATGAACAGATGACATCTGTTAAATAAACTAAACTAACTGTAAATATGCATCTATGCTTTAAAAATCTGTACCTCCTACCCAGCACTTGGTAATATTACAGTGAACTGCAGTTTTTAAAAAAAATTCCAACAACTGAAATTATTTTATGGTGTACCCCATTTGAACAAACAACGATCTCCTGAACCGAGTCTATTCCTGTAAATAGTGTACAGGGCTGGCATGCCTCTTTTTTTTCAGTTTTCCGTAACTTCCATAATATTAATTTGACTAAGAGAAAAAAACAGAGTTGTTCTCTTGTTTTAGTAGTACGGCGTGTGAGCATTATTCACCCGATTTTAGGTTGGGTGGATTTTAGGCACCCAACTGCCTAAAATTACCTAACCACATCTAAGATGGGCTTCCTCCAGAACTTGGAAATTCCCATTGGTTCTGGAGGAGAAAAATAAAGGATTAAGCACAAGTGTATTCTGGGTCTTTCCTCAGTTCTTTGTATTCTCTGATACTTCAGTGCCTTCCAATCCTCTTTCATAACTGACTGCTCACTTTGACAGGCAAAGCTCTGCATGTAGCACCATGAAATTGTTAATAATGCAGGAAACAAAAGTTCAGCTGTCCAAAATAATTCTGACCTACTTTAGTCTCTGCTGCAAAGATTACAGAGACACTGAAATATGATCAGGTATGTTTTTTTCCTATTAGAAGAAAATTAAAATCTTCCAGTAAAATAGGGCTCGGAAAACTTTAACAGAGGCGGGGAGGGGGAAAGAGAGATCTGTCACTGAGGTCCAACTGCAGGATTAGACCTTTGTTCCTTTGTTTAAAAGAAAATGCTTGACATATCTGGCTATATATGATAAAAGAAACCTCTGAGCCTTCAAGATTACAAATGACAAAATCCCACACAGAGGAGGAAATACATAATAAAAAAAATACTGTTTGCCTTTTTCCTTATTTCCCCTTAAAAGGAAAAAAAAAAGAAAGAAAGAAAAAAGAGAAACAACAAATGGCATCATTATCAAAAGCTTAAATTACCCCATAAAGGTGTGGGATTCAAGAAAGGGCTTTTCAGCACTTTTGTTTTAAACTCCCGAGATGGGGAGCCAGAGCCATTCGTGCGTCAGTACCCCAAACCAGAGCCATCCGTGTGTCAGTACCCCAAACCAGAGCCATCCATGTGTCAGTACCCCAAACGAGCAGCTGTAGCTGTACCTGGGGAAGTGTCAGCTTTTTGCAGCAGCAAAAGTCACAGAAATCAGCTATTCTCCAGATCTGTGCAATATCAGAGTTTGTAACTGAACAACCACAAACCCTGAGAGCTACCAAGGAAACAAACATAGTCCCTCCACCCCTTTTGCATTCAAGCTGTCCAAAAATTACCTTTAATAACAGCTCAATGACTTCTGTATGAACAAGCCCATGTACTGGCTCGCCGTTGATATGAGTAATCAGATCCCCAGCTTTTAATCCTGCTTGATATGCTGCACTTCCTTCTTCCACATTCTGGAAATCAGAACAAAAAAAGAATATGCACTAAACACTCAGTAATCCACACGCTAAATGGACTCATTAGCCCTTTTAACTTCAAGAGTGCTTTTTTGTTTATTTTGGGGCAAATTGATAGCTTTTAAAGACAGCCTTACACCTAGAAACAAAAATCCACTGAGCCATTTCACTCTCATTTAATTATTTGGACTTTATCCCTCCCTGGTAGGGGCAGGAACTGCTTCAAAGTTCACTGGAAACACTGTGCTTGCTTCCATAGAGGCTAAGCTAGCTCTGGATAGCAGGGCAGCTTTCATACATCACAAGGAAGAGGTTCTTCAGTCTCCCCTGCAAAATTTCAGATCTGAATAAAAATTTTTAACATGTAACGCTAAGAAATACTAACACAGTTGAGGCAACACACATCACACACAGTACTGATTACGACAGAAAATCTGCAACTCCACCATAATATTTAAGACTATTTGTAAGTGGACCAGGCTTTCCATTAGAGGAAATAATACAGCACAAAGGTGATGAAAGATCAGAACACATTTAATTACAAATGATTTTAAGATGGTTTAAGTAATGTATTTTAAGATGTGCTTTCTAAGAATTTCAAGTGAAATGGCTGCTATTGCAGTTAACAGGACCTACACAGCTTTAAAAAAATGCAGTGTTTTGAAAAATCCACAGATTCACTTCCATTGCAACATAACTTTTTTATTTTTTCTTCCCTTCCTTTCACTGATTTTGGGATTTATTCCATTATCAGTCTCACATATATCAGCCTCCAGCTTCAATGTTCCCAATGAATTAATGGATCTGAGAGGTAAACAACTTGAGTGACCTGCTGCCTCAGCAGCAGCATTTTTATTTCAAAACGTGCCAGAGGTGTTTAAAACAAAATGCCATCTGCATCTTCAAAGCCTCTGAAATGCTTTAAGGAAAATCTTCAAAATTGTTTTCAGCTGGTTGAAGTAATTTAGAACCATACAGTTATACACACACACACATACATATATATGTGTATATTCACAAGAAGTAGATCATCAATGCTAGGCAAGTGCTGTCTTGTCCCTTAGCCTGTCTCCCATGTGGTTCAGATAACCAGTGACCAGGGGAGGAAAAATACATGATTTATTCATTATATTCAGCCTTCTTCCTACACCACAGAACTCTCAAAGGTATCTGCAATTCCAAATGACATGTGCATTCCTACACAAAAGATGAGCACTGGAAATCAGCCTACTTGCAACTAGGGAAACACACACGTCAACAGACTTTTATGAATCCCTTAGCTGAAGTAAATCAGCAAGTCCCAGCTCTACTGCAACAAGTTCTGCGTACAGCCTCTTAGCTTTGCAGTCCCTGACTCACAGCCTAAGAGGGGCTGCACTCACCTCTGGTTCTCAGGCCACACTACTCTGTGAATAGAAATGACTGCTTGCAAATACCAGACTTGCTAAAAGTGAAACTGAACAACGCAGAGGATCAACATAGGTATACACTTCCCATTATAGGGCTTGTGCCATCCCTATAGCCAAGAGTGGTCTTCTGCAGAGGCACAAATTTAATTCCAAGCAAGTTATTTAGCCATTGCCATTTACATAGTAACTGTCAAGAAACAGATACCCTGTGCACAAAAGACCAAGAAGAAATACATCATTACAGTCTTCTGTGGTTATAAACAGGCAACCCGAAATTGCCTTACCCAAACAATATGATGCACAGTGTAGACGTCGCTATCGCCCACGTAAACCCGGATGGCTCGGATGGTAAAGCCGTACTTCTTGCCTGAGCTGTGGATCACTATGGGCTGATGGGGACTTGCAGCAGCAATTGAGGAATCACGGCTAGGAGAGGAATCTCGCGAGGATGAAGGATCCGATGACAAGGAATGAGGAGACATAGGGCTTCCCAACGGAGAAATGCCAAACACTTCTGGAAGAAAAAACAAGCAGACAGAACTGTCAAGAGTACATCCTGAGCACTCAGAAACAGAGAGAGAACAGTGAACCTGCTTAAAGTTTTATGACACCTTTGCGCCAAATTAGTTCTCTGCATTTGTATCAAGAACCTTCTCCTCACTCAGTGGGTCACTCATGGGTCACAAGCTTAGTGTATTCTTGGTGTATCACAAGCTTAACTGACAACCAGATCTTGGAACTAAATTTCTTCCCCCACAGTGTAACCTCTTTTTGTTTTTTTAATGCTAGTTTAAACTCATTAGTTCCAGGACGCTTTTACCTTTGGCTAGGACACACACTCATCAGTAACTCGGCAAGAACAATCCATGGTCCTTTTACTAGTAAATACACGTGAAAACTGAAAAGAACAGTAGAGTTTGGCAGCACTGTGAATATGCTAGAGCCCCTGCCCACTCATATCCAGCAGCACTAAAGTAAGCGTTAGTTACTTCACTTTCTAGATACAGTTTTATATAAAAATTATAGTAATTAAACCATAGTATCTAGTCAGTACCTAGGGCGTAACTCTCAAGTTGTACCAAGCCTCAATTCCTACATCCTGCCATTTCACATAAGGCCATGAGAATTTCTTGCAACAACAATATCAATTATTTGATTTCCTTGTTTTGAAAGCACTATGTGCTCCTGGTCACACTAATATAAATGCAACTGCGGCAGCATAAAAAATATTTGGGTGACTATTACAGGATGACAGTTGTTAAAATGAACACAGTCCACAGAGATTCCAAGTATGGTTTTTATGCCAAGTGATATCATCTGAGGGTAGATATGCTTTGACATTTTTCATTGCCAACTGATTGCCCTCCAAGAATTTAAGATGAGGCAAAACATTCCTCTTCAATCAGGACTCAACATTTTCCTCTTGACTTATCTCACTAAAAAAATAAACACTCATTGCCAGCTGGTGGTATTACAGTTATGAGAGAAGAAGCCTATGCTGTTCTTTGAATTGGTAAAGAAGGGCAGAAACCATTATCAAGTGCATCAGAAATTCCTACCGGAATAGGCCTCAGATTGGCCTTTTACCTCCCCAAGGGCTTGAGGCCATGCAGAACAGCACAGCGTTTGCTGACCCAACATATCACAGCGAGCAGACACGGCGTACAGCACACGTGCTCTACCTCCCAGACATGGGTGAGGTTTGGGAAGCCAGCTCTCTCCTCATGAGAGCGCCACAGCAGCCCTTTAACACTGAGCACAATTCTCCACTCACCTGAGCACTCAGCAAAGCAAAACTGTGAGTGGGCGTCTATCGAAAAGCTAAAAACAACCTGCTGAAGTTATTGTCAAAGCCATCTAAAGCAAGTGAAGGGACATATCAGACCTGTAGATACTTAAATATTACCCCAAATGTCAAAAAAACCATGTCAGTGCATAAAGTTAAGATCTAATCCCACTTCTAAAGAACTCCCTCAAAGTTTAGTGTGTTTGAACTTTCATTCTGAAACATTACCAAGTGAAGGGCCAGTGGTTCACCTGGAAACATTCACCACTACTGTCACCCTCTATTTATTTATAGCAGTATTTCTGGCTTCATGTTTTGAGCACGCCCTGTAGTCCAAACAGGAAGTTACTTCTTCCATCTTTAGGACACTTCTGAGCACTTGTCCTCACAGGAGATGTGAAAGAACAACGGAGGTCGAGCGTGTTGCTCTAACATATGATTGGCTTTCCAGGGAGCAGCACAACAAGGAGCTAGCTCCCTGTCTTGGAACTGCAGCACCAGGCCTACCAAGGATGAGCTGGGACTGAAAACACACATCTTGCTGCACAGGCATGTTGCTGAACGTGGAGCAGTTCACAGCTTGGGCCACATTCTGCCTGCGAGAGAAGGTCCCCCAACTGTGATCTGACCACTACAGCTGATGGACAAAATGGGACCATCCAGTAGCACGCAGGAACACAAGGAAATCTGCAACATGGAATCCTTTTTCGACTCTCCAAAATCTTGAATTTACGTCATAGAACATGCAGTATGCACAAATCATAACACTTCAAACTAAGATTTATCTGTACCTCCTGGGATCATGAGGGATAAAGCACTTGCAGAAAGGGACTTGGTGACTTTTCCAGAAATCTTCTTTTTCTCTGTGCTTTCCAATCGCTGACGAGCCATATGAGAAGCAACCTCCCCGGGCGGCTTTGAGGAGTTGTCTGCACTGTCCACACTCTCACTTCTTCCATTTATCTGATCTAAGTGCTCTGAAAAACTGCCAACTGCACAAAGAAGAAGGGACAAATACATTGAGGGAAACTGGGGATCAGGGAGGGGAAATAATATAAGTATGAGATGGGAATTTTCCTTTCTGTCAAAAAATCTGTAAAACAGCATTGAGGGGAAAAAGAAGTTTTTCCATGGACTTATAGACTGCATAAAGATTAACAGAACGACGGGAGCAGCAGGGACTGCAATGGCTTTTAATCACTGACTGAAGCAAAATGAAGGCAAAAGATGATGCCAATTTGGTAGCTCAATGTGCAACATTCACCTCACACAACTTAAATCATTCATAATCATTCATTCTGCATGTGAACTCCCACTAAAGATAACGAAAGGTTCCAATGGTACTTAAGATGCTATCAGCTTAACAACTTCTCCCAAATCATTGAAATATTAACCCTATTTTTAATTACCATTTTTTGCCTTTTGTTCTTTGAGTGGTTTCCTACTACACCTAACAAGAGTAAGATACCTGGTACCACAACACTCAGTATTACAACCACATTGTTGTTAGTTTACTGTAAGTAAAAGTTAAGTTTACTGTAAGTAACAGTTAGTAAACAGTTAGTTTACTGTAAGTAATGGGGGAAAAGGCAGACTGGAAGTGAAATTAGATGTGTATGGCACTAGAAAGGAAATACAGTATAAAGGCTAAGAAGAGCACTCGCTAAGATGCTAAAAAGAAGACAGACACAGGTATATATAGAAGGGATATTACTTGAACCTGTATCTGGCATATACCTGAATTTGTGTTAACTATCAAGTTGTTTTAAAAGAACACCAAAGTCTCCTCTGAAAGAACAAAGCCAGCATTGTCTTGAATCCTACTGAAATACACAGAAACACTTGTGTTGTAGGTGTGCAAAGAATATTATTATTATTATTTAAATAGGGAGCTGTTTACAAAACTCCTACCTAGACTTCAATGACTCAAAGACAACCCTGCCAGTTCTAAAAGTCTAAGTCACTGAAAGGTCTCAATTAAAACACACACAGTGATGCAGCACTCTGTGCCAGGAAACAACATCACAGATCAGTTGGAAAGACTCTGGGATAATCAACCAGATGAAGAAAGTTGTAAAAATGCTGCTTTAAAAGCTCAAAGGATTAAGTCTCCATTCCTCCACAGAAGGCTCCTGCACAGACTCACCACACTGTTTATGTGCAGAGCAAACTCTCCAGTCAGGGAAGTGATGCTACCTGTTGGCATTTTCAAAAGCACCGACAACTTTCCTACAGGTGTTATTGCAAGACTTCATTAGTTGAAGCCTGTGCCCAAACCAAAGCCTTTTGGGGACAGTTCTCTCTAAAGCACTACAGAAATAAACATTTCTTCTAAATCCCTGAATGCTCTTGTAAAACTTGGAGGAACCACAAATTGCTTCTAGTGTCAGCAGTGTACAAAGAGCCACTATAAATTACCTGAGAGCGTGGAGCTGCTGATAGTGCTTGCTGGAGTGGTTACCTCGGGCTCATCTTGCACCGTTTCCTCACTCACAAACGCAGCTTTTTCCTGCTCCTCCCGGGGTCCTGCTAGGCAGGTGGGATCATCCTGTTCTCCCTCGGCCGATATGGCCAGTTTGGGGAGCAAACCAGAACTGTGGCGCTGACGGCTGCTCTCAGTATCAGAGGAGATGGAGGTGGATATTTGTTGGCTGCATTAAAAAAAAAAACAAACCCTCATGCAGTTTTTGAGATGCAGGAGCCACCTAACAGATGTGACAACATGCAGACAACCATCTGCAACACTTCTTTCTACTTACATTTCAGAATATTCTGAACTCCAGCTTAAAGATTCCACAGAAGGCAATGTTACACTTTTTATTTTGTCACCTGCATCTTCTTTTTCTTCACCTTGTATTTGAGCAACTCGATCTATGCTACTAAAAACCTATTATAAACAAACAAAAAAACGCATCACTGACATATTTGACATAAGACAACACTCAGGAAAGGGCATTGTCGCTGGAATTCTACATGTTACAAATGCTTGTATGGTATTTAAGATGTTAAACTCCAAGTGTCTTCAGCCTTTTTAATATTCCAAAACTTTGTGTTCTAAAAATGCTTTCCAGTTTTGCTCTCTTGGCGCCTTACAGAGGCATCAAGATCTGTTTTTTATTTTTTTTTTTTTAATGAATTCATCAGTGCTCTTGCCGTTTCCCTGTGTGAACCATGAGCCTAAAAACAAAATCCATACCTTTGGGTTTTCCAGGTTACAAAATCAATGCACATCTTGTATTATTCCCTCACCATAAAGTCAATGAGAAAAAAAAAATCTCAAAGCCACTTAATTAATGTTTAGCAGTCAGGTATGGAAAGGAAGGAAAAATGAACCAGAATGGACTACGAAGATAAGAATAAAGTCACTTTGCCAAAGGATGTACAAGAGATAAATTCCAACCACTGGAAGGCTGTTGTTTAGGTAGCTAACAACAAAACACAAAGTAACTGTCAGCTGCATATTATACAGCCCGAGTAACAGCCTGAGATGCAATGGCATAATGACATTAATATACCAAGCCATTGCTGCAGGTATGTTACTTTCAAAGGGATAGAAGATAACTCTGCAGAGAAAAATAAGACTTTCAATCATTTATCACTATTGGAGCAAGGAACATGCCACCAATTCCAAGCAGGCAGCTGCACTGAATGAGGACAATCAGATTTGCAGGTCCTCTCTCTGCTCCTCTGTGCCATCTCCGACAGGTATATGCAGAGTCAGTATAAACTGCACAGTACTGCAGTGTCAGTATAAAATTCATCAGTTAAAGAACTAGCCAGGACAAATAACCACATGCTTTCAAAATCCCTTTTCAGTTCCTAAAATAGGTTAGAGACAAAGCTTATTAACAGAAAGTTTTTGAAAAATCACTACTGGCTGCTAAGTAAGAGTAAAAGCAGATTCATTAGACTTTCAACTTCTTAATTATTTCCTGCCATTTTTTTCCACATTATTTAGGTCACATGTATTACATGTTCATTGTGCCCTTGCTGGCAATCCCTGCACAGCAATAATTAGCTCTAATCTCAACTACTAGAATATCCTTCATTTTCAACACTCAAATTTACTGTCAGTCCACACTATTCAAACCACTCCCTCAAATCCACATTTCTTCTTGACAAAATCATTGCTTTGATTTTTTACTTGCAATCTACTGCCCCTTAGGCTCACTTCTGCTGTAGAGAGTAATGTAATCCCTGCTATGCCTTTCATCACCCTCTAGATACCAGTACACACCTGGAATAACAAAGAAACTACGAAGAAAACCAGATAAGTAACATGAGCTAGTATTTAACACACTTTCTGAAAAGTTTGTCTTAAAATCATTATGTCCCTCACCTCAGAAAATATTACTCCATTTATAGAAAGGACGTAATTTTCTATTAACTTCTTGAGTACTGGGGGAGGGAGGAAAGGAAGGACACCCTTTCCTACAGAATCCTCCCCTGTTCTGAATTAATGATATTAATTCTCACTGAATTCCAGTATACTCAGTTTCATGGCGAAGCAATACTCTATACAAGTCTTCCACATCTCCAAACTCTAATAGCATTTTTGATTATATGCACACTGAACATTAACATTACAGCAAGTTTTACTTACTTTTGAAAACCTGTGTGAACATGAGGAAAACTGTCTAATTTCCAGATTAAAATCTTCATCATTTGTATCATCTTCTTCCTCAGTTTCCATGTGATGGTATTTCTCCGAACGAGCTATAGGAAAGAAATTTAGATTATTTCAATTTACCAGAAAGGACGTATTAGTATTAATTAAAAGTATTATTAATTTTTTAAGATTATTTCTTAAGACATCCCAACAGCTGCCATTGGTTCATAAATGGTATTTCCAAACCACAAGAAGCAAGTGTAGAAGTGAAAAGACAGTGATTATTTAATATGGCAATCACCACATTTTTTAGGGCAATCACCACATTTTTTAATACAATCTAACACCTACTGTCAAAATAACTCGTGTCATCCTCAGACTCCAGCTGGGGAATAAATTCTGCTTTCTGCCTCAGCAGACTATTCCAGTCCAGGCTGCGGAAGAACTGATGCTGCTTTACTTCATAGGCACCACCTGGGGGAGCCAGAGAAAAACACAGTGTTAATAATACGCATTAACCACAGCCTCCGGCATGAAATCAGTTAAATTTACGTTCCAAAAAATGCAAATTGCCTCAGAAAGGCCTCAGGGCAGGCATGACTGCTGCCCATTTCCGTTGGAGGGGCCCAAACTTGCCCAGCACCTCCCCATCCCTCTTTGTCGTTGCCATCTCTTCAACAGCAGTGCCTGGTTTTTCTTCTTTCCCCTTTTAACACATTTTTCTGAGCGAGCTAATTATTAGGCATCTGCTACACATTAGTCTGAAGCAAAAGACATAGCAGGAGTAAGAGCCAACATGTCAATATGCACAGCAGAAAAGTAAGTGGAAGATGGGAAGTAATGAAGACTGATCCTCTCTTTAACAGTCATTCATGACAGCACCGTCGCTGCGCAAGAGCTCCTCTCAAGCACACGTAATATACTGAAGTAATAGGCAATTTCAATGGAACAGTCTCACGACTGCCTAGCTGTTACAATTTGCTTTAGACAACTACATTATATTCAAATTAAACAAAACTAAAAACACAGTGAAGCACAGAAATTTTTATCTTGAGGGTCAGGTAGGGCAGCTGCTGCTAAGTGTTAAAAGTTGCTCAGAAAAATTAAATGGACCAGCAACAGTAACAAGAGGAACTGCCTGCAAATTGCTACAGTGCATAAACCTGCTTACTGGCTAGGCAGAGAGGGGCAGAGGCAGGGAAAAGGTGTCAGATCTCCGAGAGTGGCCATTTAAGTCAGGCTCCTACCATTGCCAGGTGCATTCTTTATTCCACCCCTCCCACTAAAACAGGGAAAACCTCACTGAAGTCCAATCCCTCTAAATGAAAGCAAACCCCACATCTAATGGTATGTAACTAGCCAAGGAGTGAGCTGTAACAATGATTCTGCCTTTTCTGAACACTGTAGTGGAATAGTATAGCAGGATTACTTAATTCTGGTCTAGATACCAGACATTTCAAACCCAAAGATTCCAGCATTAGTCATCTTTTATTGCAGATTGGTGCTACCAAAAATTTCCTGTTACTTAAAAAGAAAATATCATCCTTTCTCCGTCATTTTCCTTCTTGAGAAGCAGCAGAGCATCTATCTCTTTCCATTTCTCCGTGCCACTAACAGACCCTGATCAGAGCCACCACTGCCCATTTTCCTGGAGTGCAGGGCAGAAGCTAATACGCAATAAATACATAAATAGATGGGGCTGCTGTTGGAAAGGCAGGGTGCAGCCTGGCATAAACCATGCTACTTTCCACTGCTCCTAGGGGACCAGTCATGCTGTGGTCTCGGGTTCTGTGAGTTGCTTCTGACACTTACAAAGCTTCATTTTTCTAAACATCCCCCTGTGATGGAGGGAAATGGCCGCAGGATCCTCATCTTCAGCCCACCAGCTCCGGAGAGACCATCAAGAGCCGAAAGAAACCAGCCCAGCAACAAACTGAGCAGATGCTCCACGGAGCAGCACTGACTACTACAGCACTTAGGCCAGTCCAATTCCAGCCAATTCCCTTTCTTAACCAGCTGTACCAAGACGGAGAGGCTAGACTCACAGCCTACTAGTGACCCAGTATTTCCCAGGGTGACACTCTTGCATTAACATACATTTATGAGGAAAAAGCATATAAGCAGTGAAATGGCAATGCTTGAAATCAGTAAATTTAAAATAAAGAGACAGAACTAGTTCTGGTTACTGAATTTGCTTTTGACAGAGCTGTTTGCAGCTGATGAAGCAGGAGGAAAGTGAAGGAACTGTCACTCAGGCATAACAGCCCCCTCGCCCCTACCTAGCTCAGCGTGGGGCAAAAGAAAACACACTTTACTGAACGTCACCTACTCCAGGTCGTCACTTACACTGGTGCTTATGGCACCTCCACACAGATCCCGGATGCTCAGGGAGAAAGGAGCGCACAGCTCTGTCCTTGCTGCCACTTCACTATTTCCCAAGTGAAGATGTGTCTTTTGGGACCTTGGCAATAGTCCTAGTGGTCTAGGTTATTCTCATGTTTCCCCAGGCGACTGTGGTAAAACTAATGATAAATTTGTTCCTAATGTCCCAACTTAAGTTAGCTCTATAAAAACCTGCATCACTGAATGGGACTGCTGGGCTCAGCTGGGCCATTTTAAGTACTGCCATGATGACCAATTCTGCCCCCCCTCAGTTCCTTGACTTTCCAGACAAGTTTATGTTGTTCCCAGATAGATCTAATATGGTGCCTTCTCAACTTGAATACAATAAACTAAGGCTCCCATACATTTGTACCTTAAAGATGAACAGCAGTATTCTTTGTTTCTAACCCTCTCTCAAATTCCCAATTGCCATCCCGCTCCATCAGCTAGCAAACTCTTCAGTGCTACACAGCCACACGGTGCTTTCACTAGCCAACGCAGGCTCAAAACACTTAGGACACCTACCAGGCTCTACTTGGAATGGAACAAGCTTGGCACTGAACGAACACAGCAGAATAAGCAGCTTGTACTCTGAGCGACACTCATTTATTTCCTTAACGCTCATGCTTTTGATTCTGTTCTTTCCCACACAAGGCAGCAGTGCTGAGTGAGAATGATAAGCCTTTTCACAGGGCAACCTCAGGCAGTGGTTTCTGAGTAATTACTTCAAGTAGCCATCACCCCCCTAGAGCAGGACGGAACTAATTTGCCAGGTCAAGGTGCTTCTGGCAAAGCAAGAGTTGGTTGTGTTTCAATCCCCTTTAGTTATTTAATAATGTGCTCATGAAGGAAATCCTTCAAATGGCTAACTAGATCTTTAAGAGGTTTCCATTCTACTCACCAGGACAAGAAAAGAGTAAATGAGAACCACACGTGAACGCTACAAGATCACAATCATCATATTGTTAAGCTCTTTGTATGGACTTGAATCTGCAAAATAATCTCTGCTATAACCACATGCTCCCATGTGAACACACTGACAGATGCTTCCCTGGCAAAACAAACAAAAGGCCCAGCATGCTGAACACAGAAGCTATTTCTAGTATACTGATAAAATTTAAAATTTAAAACACCACCTAACCTGTTCCCAGTCTTTCCAAGGGGTTTTGCCTGAGCAGCAGGGTAATCAGATCCTGGGCATCTGGAGGGGGCGCTTCATCCTTTTCAGGCCAGTTGATTTCATCTAATAAAAAAGAATGATAGTTGTTATTATTGAAGTCTGGTCCCAACATCCAGCAAAAGCTCTATGAAAGTTTTCATACCAACTTAGCAGCAGTTGGAGTTAAGACCTCTCCTCAGTCGCTTTCTATTGCATACTATTTTTGACTTTAATACACTCTTTGCCTCCTCTATACATGTATTTTTACGTCCCCATTTTCCTGCAGGTATCCTTTAACCCAAAATAGTTTTTAACAGTAAAATATAGCAACACTTGGCTCATGGGAAACTCTTGCAAAACACCACTGACTTGTACAATGTCCCTCCTGCCCTGGAAGAGCAATGGGTTTTAAATCCTAGCTCTGTTCCTGGAAACTGGCAATGAAATGGACACAGCTGACCGGACCCAGCAGTCACTGCTCATATTTATAACCCTTCTCTAATGTTAGTAGCTTCATTGAAGTCACTCCTCCCATGACTAAGAGCAGAGGTGTGGGACTCTGTGGTCTGGAAAGATCCCTGCCACCGTAGCTTTTTTTCCAAATCTCCTGTACTTCACAGGAAAAAACTCACTCTGCCTCCTGCATTAGCAAGGCCTTTTGAAGTGCATACCAAGTTACACCTAAATCCTGCAGCCAAATTATGACACCCTACAGGTAAGTCTGAATAGAAATTCTGCCAAACCTTTGTTTATGTTAAATGATGGAAAATTGTGCCAGTTTCAATATGAGCATGCACATCATAGCAACGCACATAACATTTTTTTGTATCATTTTTAGCACAAGCTGCCTCCACAAATGTAATATACTGCAGGTTCAGACAAGACTCTACACAAGTTGTTTGGGATTTTGGCATCAGAGAACCAGAGTATGAGGATCAGCTGCAGGAGATGTAGAAGACTTAAGGATACGATCTATATTTTTCCATTAAAATGATCATCACTGGAGAAATTATGATCAAAGTTTACACATGAATTCCACCTTTGCCTTACAGAGTTTAAAGAAAGATACTGAAATAAACAGGTGTGACCTGTAACCTGTTTCTGAAGGGTTATTTTTAGCCTGGATCATTTTAATTATTTAGTTTACACTTTGGCCTCCCACGGTCAAATTAATGCAACCTACAGCACAGAAGAAAGAAGCTGAAATGAGGAAGCAAGAATTGCAGGCCAATTTTTATGTAGAATGTAGATTTTACCCACAGAAATTGCATTCTCTAGTAAGCTTCCTACAGCTGAATATAAAGGGACCTGACATTTTGCCATGGGAATCTTTTACGTGGTAAGAGTTCTCTAGTGCCTACTGACAGAAACTATGACTTTAGTAAAGAGATTTCAAAGAGAGAAAAGCGTGGAAAGTGAAAAGTGAAACCAAACTGGCCAACAGTGTGGGGGCATAGGTGGAAACAAGTTTATAAACCCTCCTACAAATCATTTTTGTAAGGTAAGTGGTACATTCAAATTTACATAAGTATCAACTAAACAAACACATAACTGTGGCTTATAAGAAGTAAAATTAATGTGACATGAAACAAAAAACCTAAAGTGCAAATCTTGTCATTAATTTTGGACTATCCCCTTCTCTCCTCCCAGTCCTAGAGCAGCCAAACGATATAAACCCAAACGCATGCACGTCTGGAAATGCAATAAAAACATGAGTTATTTCCCTGTTTGCCTGCCTACAGCTTCTCCTGCAGTTGAAATCGGATTTGGAATACAGAGCATGAATATGCATTGCAGCCGCAAGGCATCAGCATTTGCTGCTTGTGTTAATTAAGCAGTTGATTCTCCTTGCCACCGAGGCCTCGGTGTATCACAGCAGCAAACAGCACTGTTATACACCCACAAACAGCTAATATATTGTGTAAGAGACCAGAGAGCAGGCAGCAGTGACAAGTCCACTTGATTCAAGCTTACAAACACCCCTGGCTTGCAACGTTAGAGATGCAGAAGTGCGAGATGGTGACAGAATGTCTCCCTCTAAACACAGGTAGATTTGCTGAATCTTCAGAGAACAAGGAGAGGGAGGTCCAGCTAGCTTGGGGTTTGGATGGCAGGGAGATGGTGGTGGTAGTTTGTAGTTATTGGTATTAGCTAGGGCACCTCTTACACAAACCGTAAAACACCGGGAGATACTCACCAACAGAGGTGCCATTCTGTTGAAGTTTTGGCACAAGCAGAGCCCTTCTCTATCTATGCAACTGGGAAATTTATGGAAACAGCAGGTAGGATGGTAAGTGAGCCTGCTTAATTATCATTTAGTTTTGCCACAAGCTGCATAACAATAGTTAGGGTCAGCCTGCAGGTTAAGATCTAAAAGGTTATTGAATTTTAAATGAAAGAAGAACAGATGTTACAGAAATAACATTACACTACAACAACCGCCAATGAAATCATTAACAATCTGTGAATTGAATTTGCTTCCTTCTCTCATTATTTATTATTTGGAAGACATTTGTTTTAGGGCTTTATTACTTCTCTGTTAATTCCTTCTTTGTGCCACGAGGCATTTTCCCAACAACGCAAATTAATTTTAACCTTTTCTTCCCTGGTATAATTTCTTTACTAAAGACTCAAAACCCTGTGTTATAGTGGCATTATTTACCTACTAATACTGCCTTTTTTTCTTTTTTTCTTCATTGTTCAGTTCAAATTTTGTTCTTATTACTTGGACAGAAAATTGCACATTACAGTATTACAAAATAGTGACTTTTTTTTTAACCAAATCAAGCTTGAAAAATTAGTGTATCAGTGAAGCTTTGAACAGTTTTACTATTAACAAAGTGAAATGTTTCAGAGCAAGTTGAGAAATGAGTTTTTTTCTAATGATCCTCACCACTGATTACTTGTCCAAACAGCTCCTCTGGTGTATCTCCAAAGAATGGCACGCAGCCAACAAGAAATTCATAAAGGATGATTCCCATAGCCCACCAGTCCACTGGCTTTCCATAACCCTGCCTCAGGATTACTTCAGGAGCTATATATTCAGGTGTACCACAGACCTGAAAACAAGAAACAAACATGATGGTTAAATCAGCATAATAATATTAATTCATGTTATTTATGCATATAATTCTTGAAATTAAAATAATATAAATGTAAAATGCAGAGAAATTAAGTTTAGTAGGTTTTAGGCTTTTGAGCTTGGATAGATCTAATTGTTTGTCTACATTTTTTGACCTCAATCATCTACACGCCTGTCATGCAAAGGATAGTTTCTTTCTTCATTTACTCATCCCAGCAAATATTTTATTTCAGCTTAAACATATCTTTATCCTTACACAAAAGTTGTGATGGTTTTATCTTAAGTAACTTTTACAGGGAACAGCTTGTGAGCAATGGTAATGAGGCATGCTTAAAGGCAAATGGGCCATTGCAAGGATTTTAGCACCCTTGGTTGGCCAATGCATCATGTGCTCCACAAGTGCTCTGCTGAGACTTCGGCGTGCCCTACAAAAACAGCTTGCCATTTGTCTCTCTCACAGACCCACTGGAACACAATTACGTCGTTCATCTTACTAATAGATGCTAATGCAGAAAGGAAAATAATCCTAGAACAATCCACAGGACAGCAGTGAAAGTGGCTGCCTTATACATCAGGAACAGCAAGGCAGAAATAAAAGCAGCTCGTACATACATCTGCTGGCAACACAGGACTTCATTCCAACACTCAAGGTAGAAATGAAAAAGGTTGCGTCTTACTTGTTTGTCAAGGAATTCTCTGGCATCCTTCTCAATGTGACCCTCATACAGATTGGTAGTCAAACTCATTAGCCCCACCTTAGAGAGGCCAAAGTCTGTAAGCTTTATATGGCCCATGGACGTTACCAACAAACTGAAAATTAGAAAGATCTCATGTTACTGCGATAGAATTCAACGTCATGCACTTACTATTACTATTACAGCAAGAGGAAAATGTTTCATCAGCACCACAGAAATATAAAGAATTTAACAAGTAATTGTACCGGGTAGAGAGCAAAGGTTAAAAATCAGATACTGCCATACATTTGTTACTGCTTTTACCAGGTGCAAGCAAACTGTTTTTACACTCAACTGAACATCATCTTAAAGGACCACGTGAGTGGTAGTGTAGTGGTTCTACAGTTAAATACATAGGTACAACATAAAATGCCTTGAACAAAAGGAAACAAGACATCCTTCTGAAAGATCCTGGGCTGATGTAGTTTTTGAATGGAGGCAGGCATTTGCTAGCTAACTTTTTGCAAACAAACAAACCAAAGCAAAAAAAAATTCCACATATGGTAAGTTAGCTGCTAACTAATACTACAGCAGCATGAAGTACTATGCTATGAAGGTATGTTTAGTCAGCAGACACGATTCCAATTATGTTTTTAACAAGGGACAGATAAAAGATTAATGGAGATGGAATTACACCAATCACTACAGCCCCTTGCTGTAACGTTAATTACACATACAACAGAGATACTCTATTTCTAAACTTTGCAAAAACCGTGCAACAAGAACCATTCCCCATCAGACTGATTTGTTGTTTACCTATGTATTACCTATGTATTTACCTATGTATTAAACAGGATTCTAAGAATATTTCAAATGATTTTTTTCTTAATGGATAGAATGCATTTCCCTAATTTCAATTAAATCTTTTTTTCTGTACCTACTCTGATACCTTTTCTATCTTTACAGACTTTAAAAGAACACTCTTGAAAAAAGACATTTTCTGTAACTGCAAGTAATGAAAATTCCTAAGCTGTGCAGAAATTGTGAATTCATATAACATTCACAGTGAAAAACTCAGCATTCTACATCCCTCATTTAACAACTTCCAGGTTTTCTTACAGTTGTATTCCTTATACGTACTTGTCTGGTTTCAAATCCCTGTGCACAATTCCGTAATTATGGAGGTATTCCAAGGCCAGAACAGTCTCTGCAAAGTACATCCTTGCCATGTCCACAGGTAAGGGACCCATATTCTTCATCAAAGTAGCACAGTCACCACCTGTGGATAAACATTCCAGGCTGTGCTGTAAATGGAGGTGGGGGAGCACAATCCCTAGGTGCTGCAGCAGCAGGTGCGTGTGCCATTAATGCTTATTTTTCAGGCAGATCACTTCCACCATGCAGCTTTCCATGTAGCCACACCAACCTGGTACTGACAAAAGGTGGGAGTGACTCGTGCAAGGTTCAGTTAGAAACCTATTAAGCCTGTAGTGCCACAGAAAAATAACCAGAGAACCCAAACAACCATAGCCTGGGTATTTCTTCTGACACTTTGTTTCTCTGTGCTCTCCTTCAACAGTAGCATCTTTCAAATTGTTTCATCTCCTCTCTTGGATAAAATCACTTACTGTAAATACCCAAAGACTTGCTGATGAAAATGTGAAATCCAGAAAGGTAAACAGCATTTTCAAATGAAATTCAATGCCGGGACATTTATGACTGCAGTCTATGACAACCTTACTGAAGCAGCAGTTGCTTCCCGTTATATTTGTAGCATAAGCGTTTTACAAGCTCCCACCAGCAGATAACAGCTGGGTTGAAAGCCATCCTGGTTTTGGATTTAGATCCTAAAAAAGTATCACCAGGGCACAGATGACACAGAGGAGGCCCTTCCAGATGCAAATACCATCTGCATTATTCTTTTCATGGTGTTAGAAAAACCTCTTTTTCCACAGTAAATGACAGTCCGTACTTTACCTTCTACATATTCCATGACCATACATAAATGGCGTCTCGTTTCAAAGGAGCAATACATGCTGACAACAAATGGATTTTCTGCAAATGTCAAGATATCCCGCTCAACGAAAGCCTGTTGGATCTGGTTTCGGAGGATGAGATTCTGCTTGTTAATTTTCTTCATGGCAAATCTTTGTCTGGTTTCCTTATGTCTCACAAAATACACAGCGCTGAAGATGATGAAATGGAAGAAAAAAAAGGTGGAGTGAGTAACTATATAAAAAACTTATTTTAAAATAATTTGTAAAAATAGACACTACATATATATAAAGATGCTATACAGCTATTACATAAAAAATGGCTTTAGTTTAACACAGCTGACAAGTCTTTTGTATTTGAGAATGGCTAATGATCTCATTTTGTTTCATCACCAGGATAAGTCTCAGTCAACACCTTAGCACGCAAGTTAAGAAACAAACTATCCCCAAACAAAACCAACAGAAAAAGAAGAAATGAAAAGCTCTGAACAAATATTGCACTCAGCCCATATAGATTTTGGGCGTCTCCACCAGCAAAGGATTATATACAAGAAGAAAAGACTATGACATAATATCATAAATCATGCTGACAAATGCTCATTCTGCAAGTACGGTGTCATATAATTATGACTCAGACTACCCAGGGGATTTTAACATTTGTCATAGGTTTCTGCTGCAGGTTTCATCTACAGCCTCACAAGTTGCTTGATGGGTGGCTCCTTTATTGCCAGGTGCAAAATACATCATCCTCTGAACTTGTTCAGGCCTCGGCACCAGCATCGAACTGCACTGGGGCAGGTCACCATTAGGTAATTTGAAACAAAGATTGCTCTATTAACTACATGGTAATGGGTTATGTTGCATCTTGATATGCAGAATTTCCTCTGGGGAATCAAGTATTAAGTTTTCTACAAGCCTGGTTATATCAGGTCAAGGCAATGTTGGGGAGAAGAGTGGATTTCTTCCTTGCCATGCTCAGGAAAATAAATCACCCTGCCTGGAAACCTTGACACAGGGCATGACGGCTGCTTTTCTCAAAACCCCCTGAGGCAAATCCTGAAAATGTCTGCCTTGCTTGAAATCTATTTTGCAGCATTTAATGCTTGCAGCATCGCCAGTAGACAATTACCAGAGCTGGGAGTGTTTGTGGAAAGAGAGAACAAAAGGGAAGAAAGCGGAGGAAAAAAAGGGACTCAATTATGGAGTTTTAAAATTCAATCTGTCGTTCCCATGAGGTCCAGTTATCAGTATACAGTTACTTCAATGAAAAAGGAGATTCTTGCCTTAAATATTCTTATGAAGAGCTCCATACAGCTGCCAAAGTTATAGCTGAGGAAGAAAGGGAAAGGGAAAGGGAAAGGGAAAGGGAAAGGGAAAGGGAAAGGGAAAGGGAAAGGGA